CGGGTCGGGTTCGGGTCGAACCCGGAACTGACCGGCACTGTTCGGGTCAACCCACATCCGACCCGTTATTAAAAACGGGTCAGGTTTCCGGACCCGAACCCGACCCGATTCGGGTCCGGGTCAACCCGACATGAATGACCCGAAGTTGACCTAAAATTGCTATTTTTTTTGATCAAAATCGGGTCAATATTCGATTTTCAGGTCAAAATCGGGTCAAAACGGGTCAATCTCGGGTTTTCGAGTCAAATATGAGTTTTCGTGTCACTTTCGGGTCAATTTCGGGTTGCTTGGTCAACCCGAACCCGACTCGATTTTTAAAACGGATTGATTTGTTCAACCCGAACCCGACCCGTTTCGGGTTCGAGTTGACCCGAACCCGGATTTTTCCGGGTCGGGTTCGGGTCGTGTCAAAAATTGACACCCCTATGTGTGCCACAGGTATTCCCATGTGAAAAATGAACACCTAAAAAAATCAAAATGTTGAAGCATTGGTTGATATTAACTTTATGATGGCTACAGAAAGCATCTCCGGATTGTTTCTGTGCAATGTATGTGAATCTAATCAATACATACTGCACATATTAGTAAGCAATTATGCGTTAGATTGACTAGTCAACAGAATCCCATATAAACTCTGAATCTTTTTCAACCCTCTTTGTCTAAGTTATAAAGGATCTTTTTGATGAATATTAATTTGAATTCAAATAATTGAAGGTTATCCCTACATAATGATGCATATAACAATAATGCAAAGGAACCATCTAACAATAACCATATCTAGAATGTTGACATGACTCTTATCAAAATTATTGTCATGATTACATCAAAGTGTTACCATACTCCCTAAGGAGACATTGCAACTTGCTCAAGTTTTATCTTTAGAGATTGAATGATTAAATATACCCAAAAAGAAGATGTTGCAGCCCCTGCATGTAGATGATCATCAATTATTGCACTTAATAGTTAAGGTTGTAGCACAAGTCTTAGGCTTTGCTTAGGACAACTTTCTTGTTGCTTTCTAATAAAAAAAATTTTAATTTTTAAACAGAAAAACTACTATAAGAAGCAGTAAGAAAGTCATCCCAAATAAAACCTTAATGTAATGATTATTACAGTACTAGAGTATTTTATAACATTAAGTAATGTAGCACAATAATGTAAGCTTTGTGTAAGACAATGAAAATCAAGAAGAAATTATAAAATAGAATGGATGGCACTAGATTGCTTAGTAAAGAGATGAACTCAATAAAAATATAATTGTTTGTATTCTCATGATGCTTTCATGTTTTTCATTTTAGTTTCGATGAATTATAATGAAGATGTGGTAAAGGGGAGTAAAGATGTGGTAAAGGGGAATTATATAACCTTGTGAAAAAGTTGTCCATGCAAGATAGCCAATTCTAATCCACCCAAAATAAGTAACAAAAAGTTCAGGCTTCCATCTTATAGATGCCACATCACCTTTGCAAGTCAATGATGATCCTCCTCCTTGAGGAAGCTCTCATTCTAGTATTTTAATGCATAAATGAGAGCTATGAAGTTTCTTTTGAAGCTTCCAATGTGATATGTAAATGCAGAAGAATGACATGCAATAGTAAACTATATGATTTGAAATAAAAATAAAGGATGTCTCTTTAGAAAACCTTTATTGTCAATTCTTTTGGTGAAGTTAAGTTTTTTTTTTTCCCCTTCCATTTGCATCCCCTATTGTGTTCTTGACTCTATTGTTCTATCCTTTCATTTCTTTAAAAGCTTCCTCAAAAATAGTCCAGAATCAATCCTACTGCCTTTCTACACCCTCTATATACCTCAACACTCATTAGCAACCCTATTTCTTTATTTTGCATGACCTCACCACATCCTAAAATCTTCATAGCCAAGCCCTTACCTTACCTCAAACTAACTTATCTTCTATGTTAGTAGATATGGTGGGCTATAAATTTTGTGCAAATCATGTCACAAGGACAGCTACAATGCATGTGCCAGCTCAAACTCTTATGTGGAAATGAATGTTGCGCAAGTTTGACAGAGGATACCTACAATGTAGATCTTGCTAGAGAATAGAGGAATGAAACAAGTCTTCTTGTAGTGTAGGTCTTCATATGATGCTCATTTTGTTGCAAAGCTAGTTTTGTGGGCATGAATGTATGAGTGGTGACAAATTGGCGAGACTAAAAGAAGATTCATCTTCTCTAAATTGGCACTATTTGAACAAGGAAACAAATATCCCACCATTTTTGCATAGATGAATTCTAATAAGCATTCCACAAATGGTTAACAAAATGATCCAATAGAAATATCAGAGTGAGCCCAACAAACCTAATCCTATAATTTACACAATAGCAAGCACACATTCGCACACTGGAAAGGCCCCGTCATAAAAATCTCTGCTAATGGGGAAATTAATCTTGCGGAGGCCGGATGCAGCTCTTTGTCCAGAGACGAATAAGGTGTAGCCACGTCAATGATACCAAGCCGCGGTACCGAGTGGTACCGAGTAGTACTGAGCCACGGTGCTGAGCGGAGGGGTGATATCGCGCATTCTGGTTGATCTCTGGACGACGTTCGGCGTCCGCACAAAATAATTAATCCTACTAAAGACATCTGAGGGATCAATTGTGCATTACACCACCCACCAATGGCTGAAGCATGAGCATGGCCATCACTTGCCCGAGGGTTCCTTCCCCTTTTTGCATTGAAATCAATTTTTTCCAAATTAACCGTGTAAACCATTAATGTTTTTTTTTTTTCGAAAAGCTTGTTATATTAACATTTTACAATCTATAGGCAAATGCATCAAGCTCAAAGATGAAAAGTTATCAGCAAATGATATCTTCAATAAAAAATTACTAACCGTTGTTATGTCTGACATTCGATATTCATCCAACGAATAAAAGAGAAAGAAATTAGAACCAAAGAGATCTTCTTATGTTCTTGATAACTTGCTGCAATCTACTGAGCCTGCCATAAAACATATACAAAATATATCAAAATATTGTCATAAAATTTTTATTCATCAGCTTATCCCGCTCATAGTTCACAAACTTACAATGTCAAACTTCATACAAAACTAGCCAAAATAATTAAAGATTGGAGAACTTTAATAGAACAAGAGATTACACAACTATACAGAGCTTCAGTCCTGTAGAATTCGTGAGAAAACAGAGAATAGGAATTCGAATCCGATCAGCGATGCCGCAATAATAATACAACTATACAAGACAAATTTATAGAAGTACAATAATCATTTCCCTTCCATTAGCAAACTTGAGTGGAAACCTAAAACTAGTAAATCATCAGTTCCTCTAAGCCACAAACCTTTCAACAAAACAAATAAACCTAATGAGTATTGAATTCATGCCTGGAGGGACACTTCCATCAACACGATCGGAATAACCGCGTATGGAACACAAAGCAAAAGCTTAAGGTTTCGTTTGGGACGGCTTTCTTACTGCTTTTTAAAGCGACTTTTTAGTTAAAAATTTAAAAATTTGTACTAAAAAGACGCTTTAAGAAGCAAGAAGAAAACCGTCCCAAACGAAGCCTAAGACTGCATGTCCCAACTACCACTGCTCCTCCCCCCAACTCAAGGGCCTCTGACGATGTTCCACAGCAGCTCGAACTCCCAAGCCCTCAAATGGAAGTATATGATCTGAACCTAAGGATGATTCATTCAACCCACCATCTTTATCATCAGTTGCTTCATTCCTGAGACCTGCATCTATGTCAATACAAGCAGCAGCCTCATGTTCTCCCCAAGCCATGGCCTTCCTTCCCACTTCGATATCTACCACACCTTTTCCCATATTTGGGCTCATAAAACCTCCAGCAGATTGTCGGGGTTGTAGACCTTGCTCTTGAGGCACTCTCGCCCGAAAATTGTTTTTGGAGGGAGGGATGCTTGTGAAGAAGATCTCTTTAAAATTTTCCACTACACCAAGGTTGTAGGGGTTTGCACGGCGATCATATCGGTACCTGAAGTTCTCATATGTTGTCTGCAAAGAGTACCGAATATAAGAACAAGAAAAAAAATTCCTAGCTTGTGAGAGAAACAAGAACAGATCATTGCAAATGTCAGCAAAGAGCTTAAAACATTCATGCCAAGATAAACATTTAATAAGAAAACAAACAGCTCCTACCAAGTATACAATGCTTGCTACGAATAATAAATTAAGTTTAATACTTCAATAGGTGAAAATGAGAGATCATAAAGTTGAACAAAAGTAAAATTTATAAGGTATGTCATGATGGAAGATTGCGGCATACCAATCTGAAGTTAGTAGAGTTCTTTTGAGTATGTTGTTCAATTGATTCTTACACATAAAACAGAAAATATTGAGTCTTCCCGGATAAATATTTTCCCAAGATGGCATTACAATGCTCAAGACATTAAACAGGTTTGAAGGAAGGTGGGGAAGGGTAGGAGGTATCCATAGCTCTTTGAATGATGGGTAATTTGGTGTTTTTTATTAACAAATGGAAGATATGGTCGAAACTTCATCATTGAAATCCATCTTAGACAAAAATGTTGTTTGACTGAGGGTATTTTGGTCATGTAGTCAATATGAGGGTTGAGGATTGAGAAACATTACCTTGAAGACTAATTTATCATCATATTGTTGAAATCTTAACTAATATACCATCATATTACACTCCATATATTCAGTTTTAGATCTACTCAAACGAAAACCTTCGGACTCTAAGGTTAACCTCTATAATTCAAGTTTACTTTCAACTCCCTCACTAAACCTATCAACAAGAAGAATATCATCAGCAAAAAGCATAAATCGGGATACATCCTCTTGCAAACGTCTAGTAAGAACATCCATGACAAAAGCAAAAAGATATGGGCTTAAAGCTCATGCCTGATGTAATTCATCTGAAATAGGAAAATACTTGGTCAAACCACCTTGTGTTTCAACACAAGTAATAACTCCTGCATATATATCTTTAATGACTTGAATATAAGTATCATTAACCCCTTTCTTTTCTTAAACTCTCCATAGCACTTCTCTTGAACCTTCATCATAAGCTTTCTTTAAATCAATAAATATCATACGTGAATCCTCTTTATTATTTCTATACTTCTCTATCAACCTAATAATAAATATATATCTTTTATAGTAGACCTACCCGACATGAATCCAAATTGATTTTGAGAAACATTAGTATCATGGCATAACCTATGCTTAATAATTCTCTACCAAAGTTTTAAATCATAACACATTAACTTAATTCCTCTATAAATCGCACACTCTTGTGCATCGGCCTTTTTTTTTCTAAAACTCTCCACAACACCTATATAACCTATGCTCAATAGATATTTTAAATTAGCTAAAAACTATTTTTATATCTTAACATCATGATAATTAGTTAAATAATTTTAAACAAAAATTAATAGGCTAGTATGACCACAATATATACAGGTCAAAACAATTCACCAATTATTAGAATATGGCTAATTTAGACCTAAAGTATCACGTTGCTCCAATTTAATCTCTTGACTATACATAATTGATTTGAAATGATTTATTTGAGAGTAAATTGAGATCACTTTTAAATAACAATTACAACATTAGGGAATATTTTGGATCAATTTTGTATAGTCAATGGACTAAAGTTGAGCAACATGATACACTATAAGACTAAATTGTCCACACACGAAAATCTATGAACCATTTTGAAATTTTTCTCTGTAGTTAAATATATATCTTATTTTTTTACAAAATGATTTTAGATCAGATTAATTATTAATTAAATATATACTTATTCTATACAAGAAAAATTAGCTTCTTATTTTATCATCATTACATTCAACACATTACAAATAAAATGATATAGAATATCATATGCTCATATTTCAAATTCATTAGTTTACAAAATAAGATAAAGTTCAATAAAGTTACATTAAGTGTTCTTTCATTACTCTGCCATCACGCCACAATAGAAATTTTAATTTATTATGAAATTGTCATTCCTCATAAATTCTCTCTGTCGTAATTCTCCTATATTCATAAAACGGGTTAAGCCAAATGTAACATATGGAAGCCAGGGTCCCAACAAGATGAGGCGCATGTGTATCTGAATATGCTCCAACAGCTATTTTTATGGTCATTAGACACTTGCATACTTGAAAAGAAAAACCCTTAATGGATTTTTAATAAATTTTTTAAGGGGTTTGAGGCTCTATAGAAGAAATCTTGTAGCAAGGTAAAATAATGAATCTCTTAGAAAAATCCAACTAAGCCCTAGATTTCCAAAATTACTTTTTGCCAGATCTTTTTCATTATTCCCAAAGTGTAGAGTCCATCCCAAACTTCACAACCTCCAAAGCAACATCATTTGTAAGAAATTAAGTGGTTGTATAGTGATCAAATACAGATTACAAGCTAGTTTTTTGTGCTTTATTTCAAGTTTTCTTTAGTGTTACATTTGTTAGATCACTATATATATATATATTCCCCTTTGCCAAGACTTCGAAAAGATTTGGGGTGCTTTAAACTTCATTTGTGCCTTAATTTTGGGTTGCACTTGCGTGTCAGAAGAGTGCTTAAGGAATATTTTTCTCAAACGACTTGAGGAGTTAAGGAGTGGAATTTATAATTGCAAACTCGGAATAGTGGAATCTTAGTCCGGGAAACATACTAGGTATAGATATAGGCCTCTTAGGCAGGTGAACCACATAAACATCCTAATTTTCACATTTTTTACAGTTTTTTAATTACTAGCATAGTTATTTTAAAATCTATGCTGAATTTAAAACCAAGTCAAGTGAACAAAAGCTTTACTCTAGGATGTCTCAACTTGCATTAGGGCCCAAACCCTAGGCAAAATGGGGGTCAAACAAGTAAATATGATCATGGTCAAACATGGTTTGAACATGCGCTTAAATGAACAACCTTAGGTTCACTAAAGCCAAATTGGCCTTCCATAGCTCGCCACGCTTCAACCCTAAGTCGAGCCGAGGGAAATTGGGCAAACCATTTAAGCTATTGCCACATTGGTGCAACAATTAACCTCTCTTAAGTCCCTAATGTATGCCTAGATTAAACCACACCCAATCAAATGGCTGAGGAGACAATGCTCCCAATCCTCCCTAGCTAGCAGAGGAAATGCTAGAGTATCATAGTCGCTCATCCCTAACAACCAAAGGGCATGATAGTCATGGGGGTGGCTAGCATTCCTGTTTGAACCTGCATGCATCACCTCAGTCCATAGAGGATCCAATAGTAGGCAAGTAAAACATTGCTACACTCTCACTCCCTAAAGCACAAAAAAGATCTCTCAAAAATCCCCTTTCATTCCTATCACCTCTAAGCTCATGCATGACCAATGCTGATGAGGTGTATAAGCGCTGGTGGTCTCCAAAGCAACCCAATCACTCATGGAGCTTGAGTTCTTTATTAGTTGGCTTTACCTCTTCAAGATGAAGCTATTACGACCGACTCTCTACCATAAAAGCACAAGTAAGATAATTTCCCTCAAACTCTAGAAAATCATAGGGTGATTTCACATGATGTAGAGTGAATGTGTAACTAGCCTAACTAACCTTAGATCCATTTTGGGAACTCCTATTGATGGTGCTCGATCTAAAATCCCAAGTCCCTCTAATCTATATGTTGTGAGAGATCATAGGATCTCTGACTGATGGTTATGGTGTGTTGCCAAAGGATGAAGATGATCTATGGCGCATTGGATTTGGATTATTGAATCTAAATCTGATATCTACTCAGGCATGATATTCAATGTGGGGAAAATTGACTACATATTCTAAAAATTATATTTTTGTAACCAAATACGTCATTAACAATAACATATCATTTCAAAAAACAAAAACGATATTCTACAATGTATTCGAAAACATAAATATAGTTTTGAAATAAATGTTTACATTCCTAAATATTTTCGCTTACCTCACATGAGTACATGCTCCCTGTAAAGGCAAAACCCTTATGATTAATTATACCCCAAGAGAGGAGATCTCTTGAGAATACTCTAGATTAAATTAGTGACAAATATTTTTCAAATTTCAAAAGATGTTCTTTTGGAGTTTCAAATGGGATTATTTCAAATTTGAACAATTCTTTCTAGGAGTCAGAGAAAAAAATAAGAACATTAGATACTAAGAAGCACAATAGTTCAAACTATCCTATGTTGGACATTGAAATTTTAAAATTTGAATTTATGGTTTGAGTTATTCATTTTATTAGAAATTTGAGGCTTACAGTCTTCAACTACAAGATTGACAAAATGTTTAGAAAGCGAGAACTTATGATGTAGCAAATCAGCCTCATGATTTAAAATTAAGATGATAATAATCATCATGAGATAGGAGTCCGAGGATTTTTTGTTCTTTTTAGTGTCCTCTATGTATGTATACAATAACCATCAAGAGGTACGAGTATAATGGAGACTGAGGATACTACAGAGTACAAACCACAAAGAAACAAAAAAGAGTAAAAGACATGTAGATACATCAAGGGAGGCGAGACTGTAAATCCTCCAACTGCCCAACTACCTCTAACAAAGTCTAGAACTCCGCCTCTGCAGTCTGGAACTCCTCTACAGACTGTGCTAGCGTGGTGTCGGCGACCATCATCGTATGGTGCAGAGTTTGGTGACGCTGCTCCTCCCTCCTGGTGAGGCGGTCATGCAAGCCGCGCCTCTCCTCTACGTTAGTCTTCTTGGACATCGCCTCCTTGATGTCCCTCTAGAGACACCTCACGCGAGCTGTCAATATTGCTTCCTCAATGCCCATCCTGGAAGAGCACTCCCAGTGTCTCCTCAAAGCCTCGACACTCCTGTCAAACTGGTCGTCGGCGTCGTAAGCAGCCGCTTGTCGCCTGACAACTCTCGCCTCTAACTCTGGAAGTGTAGCTCCAGCCCGTAGGATGGAGAAAGAGCTCAGCCGCCTGACATAGTACTCTACCTCACGACGCAGTGTCTCCCACCCAAGTAGCTCAGAACTGTCCATCTTGAAGCTAGTAAGAAGGCTGAGAGTTTGGTCAGCAGAAGAAGTAAACATGTCCCAAGACTCTGGAGACCCTGAGTCGATACTGGAAATTAGATCCCGCAAAATCTCTGTGGTGTAGCTACATTTATCGGCACTCCTAAAATTCGGAGATAAGGGAGCATGGCAGTGGATCTCCGAAGTGTAGTCGAATTCCCCTCAGGCACTGCATAAAGAATTATAAGCAATTAATACGATGATGAATATCATAATGATGCATTTGAAATAGATTAACTTATAATAAACATTTACCTATCCAAGGGCTAGTAGAGTTAACCAGATAATTGATTAGAACAAAATAAGGGTCTGCAAGGTCAGCTAAGTAACTCACAGGAAAAAATGAGAACTATGTATGAACCAAGTCTAACTCAATTGGTGTGCACAAAGATCTCCAAAAAAACTCCACCGGTGAGGCTGCGCAGGCCCCTGAAGACTTGCCTGGCCAGAACGACCCGTAGGGATCTACCGGGAAAGAGAGGTCGTCGGAAGGTCCTAACAAATTATATCCTGTGAATTCTCACCTCCTCGGCTTCTATGAACTCTCTCCAAGTTCCCTAGGAGAAGGGAGAGCATCTACAGATCTCCTAGAAGGAGTTGCACGCTGAGAACCAGTACATTTGCAGAAGTGCCGGGAAACCTTTGTATGATGTGCGCAGGTGCCACATCCGGAGCTCTGGCAAGTGAAAGAACAATGGCCCCAGTAGTAGCACGAGCCTCAATATGCATCTCTACACTAGAAGTAAACGAGAGACATATATCAAATGATCACATATTTTTTAAATTAAGTGTTGAAAAGAAAGAGAGGGGTAGAGAAGTACCTCTATCAACAGTAACCTCTGAAAAGCCCCGACAAGACCTTTGTCTCCTCAGCACCCCAAGCTCCCATACTCTACCCTCGTACCTCCTAGCATCGTGCTCTAAAGCAGGTCTGAAAGATTGTCGTACCCAGAATAGTCGTGTGTAAGTAACTCTTGTGTGAGTAGACGACTGAGTCAAAAGAAAACTGAAACCTATTCTCAGCCTCAACAAGTGTAACCAAGTCAAAATTGTAGTGTTGAGATGGGTCTCTAGCGGAACAGTGTCCATGCAACGTGTATCTATAACTACATGGACGAGTGGCCGTCCGTCATAGGCTATGGCCTAGAAGAACCCGAACTGTCTGGCCACTCTATTGGGTTGATGCCCTCTAAGTTTAGTACAACACCTGTTCTGTAACACAACTAGCCTGGATGCATGCTAATGAGGTACTCAGCAACTGCCAAACTCTACCTTCTCTGCAACAAAGTATGCCTCCCTCTATGGTCCACCCCGTCCACAACAACGGTGCCTCTTTGGCGAGGTGATAAACTGATGTTGTTAGGCTGATAAACTAAAGAAAACCGATCTGAGGCCAACTACGAGACAAAGAATAAGAGACGGATTCTCTCTGATTCAAAGGTAGAAGACGCGTGCGACAACTGAAGAACTATAGGATATCCTCTCTGAAGGAAGCAAGTGGGGGTCTCTAGGCAGGAGAAAGCATCCTGAACGTATAGATGGACCCACATGTACAAGTACTGTCACGGCAAAACTAAGTCTTGTACCTCAAGAGAGCTCACCTTAGAAGTGTTGCGCAAAACTCTGTAAACTCTGACGAGTACAGCTAGAGCAAGTGAAAGTCTCTATCCCTGTGTTAACTGGCTAGCTGCTACCAGAACACTACGTCTCAAGAAACCCGCTCTAAGTGGAAGTATGAAAGTACTGAGCTAGACAATCCAACGTCAGAGGTACAGAACTGGCTAACTCTTGGAGCTCACCCATGTATATGGATAAGGCATCAGCCACCTTATTCTTTAGCCCTAGCCTATATTGGATCTCAAAGTCATAACCCAATAGCTTTGACAACCAACTTTGATGTTCCTTAGTCACCATCCTCTGCTCTAGCAAGTATTTCAAGCTCCGCTGGTCTGTCTTGATGATGAAATGTTGGCCCAACAAGTAAGACCACCACTTCTGAATAGCCAATACAATAGCCATTAATTCCCTCTCATAAACTGACTTCAGCCTAGCTTTGGCTGTCAATACTTGGCTAAAATAGGCTATATAGATCTGTGATTTTGCATGAGCACTGCCCCCAATCCATATCATGAGGCATCAATCTCTACCACAAACATTTGGCTGAAATTGGGTAGGACCAGGACAGTAATCATGGATGTCTTCAATCTCTCAGAGACTTAAGTCGTTGCATCTCCCCACAAAAAGCTGTCCTTCAGCTGTCTGTCAGAGGCCAACTATGGTGTTATATCCCCCTCACGAATCCCCTATAGTACGTAATCAATCCTAGGAAGCCCCTCAGCTCCCTTAGGTTGCTAAGTAGAGACCATTTCAGCATTGTCTCAATCTTGGTATGATCAGCAACACCACTTCCTGAGATATCATGTGCCCCAAGTACTCTACACCTATGTTGCACCGATACGGATACGGCGACACGGATACGACACGATACGGATACGGGAAACGTCAATTCTTTATAATACAGGATATGGGTACGGCGCGGACACGGCATCATAATTTATAAATCATACATAAAAATTAAGAAAGCAATCAAAGCATAATATTTGAAATTACAAAAAAAATGACAACAACATCATTTGTAGCCTTATAGGTTATAATATAAAAATATAAGTAAGCATTAAATATCCAGTACAACAACAAAAGCATAAACACAAATTGTCTAGCATATAAAGTTTCAACTATTCAATAGAAGGAATGATATGATTAGCTTCTTCAGTGGTTTGTCTTTGAACTTCTATATCATCTTCAATAAATATCATAGCTTTTAATTTAGGCTCATCAAGTGAAAGATTAGTAATTTCTAATATTCTCATATCATCAAGAGACTCAAATCTATCTCAGAAATGAGAGAACTTTGCTCGCAACCGCAGAAGTAAATACGACGCATCTTTTTTTTCGGATTTCTTGTTTTTTTTCAATGGACACGTGTATTGAATACGCGTGTCCTTTTGAAATTAAATAGTATTTTAATTGGATACGTCTTTGGCGTATCCGACACGTATCGATGGAGTATCAGAGACGTATCTATGTATCGGTGTATCGGATACAGCACGCCTTCATAAACAGGTGTATCGGTGCAACATAGTTGACCTATCATCTCCTTTAGAATGAATCCAACGTCCCAGCTTGAATGAGAATTATTAATTCACTTTGTCCTTTCTTTGTGTGAATAGGTTCAATGCATGATCTCTTCACCTCTTTTGATTTTGTTTAATTATTTTGAGAATGCAAGCAACCAAATGGTAATTAATGAATTAGAAAATGAAGAGAAATAATTCGATAAATGTAATTTAAATGTCTTTTAAGAGTCGCTCGTTAGGTCAAGCAAAGTTTGCTTGAGTTGAGCTGAGTAAGAATCTAGATAAGTCCTTGTTGACTTAAAACTCAAGTTACTCATTAGATCTAAAAAAAAAAAAGTTACTCATTAGATCTCTTATTTTGAATGTGTTGATATTTTACAGAATTGAAAATTTTTAGGTCAATGCTTCCTCCTATCCTTTAAGCCTATTTAAATTCTAAAATCAGCTTGATAACAACAACAATAGCAACCCTTTATCCCACAAAATGGGGTCGGCTATATGAATCCTTTTTTCTCCATTGTGTCCTATTAAAAATTAAATTCTCATTTAAATCTAATAAAAATATAATTTTTAATATTTTCTAACAAAGTCTTTTAGGTCTACCTCTACCTTTCTTAACATTGATCAAATATAATATATCTACTCTCCTAACCGAGTAATCAGAAGGCCAACGTTTTTATGACCAAACCATCTTAGGAGATACTTCAATCTTATCTATCACTAGAACTACTCCAACCTTTTCACATAAAAGGATTTATATAGCCGATGTCTAGTAAAAACATTCATGACTAAAGCAAAAAGATATTAGCTTAAAGTTGATCTTTCATGTAATCCAACTGAAATAAGAAAATACTTGGTCAAACCACCTTGTATTAGAACACAAGTAATAAGTTATGCATGCAAGTCCTTGATGACTTGAATATAAGCATTATTAATCTATTTCTTTTCTAGAACTCTTCATAACACTTCTCTTGGAACATTATCATACAATAAATATCATATGTAGATCCTCCGTATTCTCTCTATACTTCTCCATCAAACCTTTCAATAAATGCATAAGACCAAACTTCATGGATTTGATATGCTAGTTGGAGTTTAGCTTGTACCTCTTTTCAAGCATGGTGATAAATCTAGGTCGAGGCTGCCTAGATTCCTAGTGTGATTTGGATTATAAGTCCCCTCGCAATATCTTGCATTAGTTAGGCTGTGAGTGTTATTATTGAGTGTACAGTATGCCCTTTGTAGATCTAGGATCAAAGGCTTACAATATAGGTATATCGTTACATGCCTTATCATTGGGCAGGTTCTCCACTATTCGAAGACTATAAATCGCACACATTCGCGTCACAATGATGGCGCTGCTTCCATCCATCTCTCACGCATGCTTGGTATGAGATAACTTCTCTTCAGATTTCTCCTCTTTGGGCAGGCTGAGTGCTTGTGTCATCCGTGCATGTTGAATAGCCTGATTGAGCCCATCTTCATTTGGATTACGAGAGCTTAAATATCTCATTAGGCGCCAAACCTCGATGAGAATAATATAGCATCCTTAATCGAGAGTATTCTTAAGTCAAGGTCTAAGATGCAATAAACCACGTGAGCTTACACCCGTAGGAAACTGATACCTATATCAAATAAATTTTATTTGAGCTGATGTATCGAATGAGAGAAATCTCGTGATTATTGGGTCATATATATTATTACCCATCGAGATGTATAAGCTAAAGTCACTATCCTCCATGGTTAATCATATGTATGATTTCATTTTTCTCCTATTGGCCTACTTGCGTATAGTGTAAAGGCCTACGACTGTTTTATCCTATGGGATTGTGCAATCGTACCCTTTGTATTCTGACCACTACTAATAGCATCCTTTCGGAGACACACAAATGCTTCTTAGAGATATAGAAAACAAAATTTGGATTGTGGGGAAAAGTATCAATAAATGTTTTATAACATAATTATAATTACTGATCTATTAACTCTTTCGGAATGAATCCAATGTGCACTTCAATCGTCATTGCTAAATAACTAATTCACTTAGATCTTTCATCTACTTTTGAACGAGTCCAATATATGGCCTCTCACATGTAGTGATCAATGTTGCACCAATACACCTATTTATGAAGTCGTGTTGTATCGGAAGCGTGTAGAACACAGATACGCGTCTGATACGGCATTGATATGTGTTGGATATGGCAAAGCCATATCCAATCAAAATACTATTTAATTTGAAATGGACATGTGTATCGAATACGTGTGTCCATTGAAAAACAAATAAAAAATAAAAATAAAAAAACATTCGAATTAAGTTCTACAGCTGCGAGCGACTCTCTCATTTCCAAACCCGTGAGACGAGAGGAGTTAGGGCTCCGTTATTTCGTCTTCATTTACGTCGAAGGAGCATATAGGAGAAGTGGCCGACGCCGAGCAGGCCAGGAGACCGAGGGTTTCTTTGGAGGAGTCCATTACGCGAGACGAGCAAACGTCTATTTCCATAGTCGAGATCGAGGGCATACGCGAGACGAGCGAGACCGAGGGCTTCTTACACGAGACCGTCATCAAGACCGAGGGCTTCTACGCGAGATTGTCGTCAAGACCAAAGGCTTCTTACGCAAGACCGAGGGCTTCTTTTCACACACGAAAAGGTTCGATTCTTCTATTGTCTTCTAATATTCCTCAAGTAATCTTTACAATTAAGATTTTTTTAATGGGCTTCCAAATGTATGGATTTATTCTTATTAATCATCATTATTATCACTTTTTGTATCCTAATTGTTTGTATTTATTTACCTTAACTTAGTTCGGTTCTTCTGTTTGTTTACAATTGTTTTGATTAGTCTAAGAACATTTTGTCTCTTTCTTGTTTTTGATATCAAAATTTCTCTCTATTTTTTAGAATTCATCCAATAGACAACAGGTCAATTTATGGAGAATTCTTTTAGATCAATGAAAACAACAATTTGTATTATTTTTCTTTGTATATTTCTATTTTGAAGAAGTAGTAACTTCATGTGCTAGACATTTTATGTTTATGTTTTTATTGTTGTACTAGACATTTAATGCTTACTTTCATTTTGATATTATAAGCTACAAGTCTAGAAATGATGTGGCGTTCATTTTTTTTATCATTTCAAATATTATGCTTTGAGTGTTTTCTTTTTTTTTTTGTATGATTTATAAATTATAATGTTGTGTTCGCGTTGTATCCGTATCTTGTATTTTTAAGAATTGACATGTTTCGTATTCGTATTATGTCGTATCCATGTCGCTCTATCCGTATCGATGCAACATAGGTAGTGATGTATTTAATTTTTGCAAACACACGAAGAATCAAATGACAACATAATGAAAGATAATAAATGACTTAGAAAATGAAGAGACATAAATCAATGAATATTATTAGTCTTTTGACCCGAGTGACTCGTTATGTCAAGTTGAATTTGCTATAGAGCCGAGTCAACATCTAGGTAAGCTGATGTCAAATTAGTACATGGGTTGGTTGTCAAACCATTATTTTTGGATAAATGTTAACATTTTAAATGCCTTAAAATTTTTGGAATTAATACAAGTTGACTAGAACGAGATCATATGTACATGGTGAGCAATAAGGCTATGTAGAAGTATAACTGCAAAGTCGTCTAAATGAAACTATAACATGGACTCAAATGGAAATGTTGTAATTATGTGTTACCAATCACAATTAACGGATTTGCAAGGTAAAAGCAAGGCAAGAACTTATGATTAAGTTGATTTCTTAATTTCATACAACAGATTGTAAGCCTTACCTTAACTAAGTGGGAAATCATAATCAGGCGGAAATAAATATGTTAAAAAGCATATGCTAATTGCTACAAAGCTGTGTATCGGTTGATAGGAAAAACGTAGCCAATGATCTAATAAAAACATAAACTATAAAGAGAATAGAAAAATACCATCTATTGCAAAGCGACGCAGCCTTGATGCCCCCATTCTCTTAAATAACGGATCCTTCACATGCAACAGAGAAATTGATTGCTGCAGCAAATTATCACCTGAATATTTATAAGTGATTATATAACAGATATAAGATTGGAAACACGTTGGAGTTTTTGAACACTCAAACCAACAGATATATCATCATTGAATAAAAATCACTGATAAAATATTGTTGTACCCATATAAGGAAAGAACTGGGAAGCAACACCAAGCGCAGTTACTATGAATATAGCTTTCAACAACCATCCTGCTTTCCTCTCCACCTCTTCTTCAAGGGCACTATCATCTGTGCAGGAGAAAAAATCCAAGTAAAACGTTTAAACATCTTTACTGCATTTGAAGGTTTTTAATAGCTTAAACTTGAAAAACTATCATATAGAATCACACATAAGACATTCATTCCATGCATATTTTCTACTTATAACATCCAACTAATATCACATTACAACTACTTTTAGTTTCTGTAGTTCCTTAAGCTTCCATTAAAAGAAACAGTAAAGTTACTCTGGCCTATTACAACATAACAAGCAAAAGTCAGCCTGAATTCATATAATTTCATACAAACATATCATCAATCATGTATTAATTATGGAAAAATTGCCAAATAACCCACAGAAACTTGGAAGTTGCCAGCAGCATAAGCTGGGGTAACCGGTTTTGGTCGTGACTCATGATGACTCAGCCTTAGAGAATGAAATTACTTCTCAACCACAATTGCTACAACAAAATAGAAGAGATTTCTTTTGCAGATATATGATCATGAACCTTTGGAAAATGTCCATGTCGCTCCTTATTCAATGAATGTTTAAGTAAAAAAACGTCAGACTGATGAAAAAAAAAATGCATTTCCAATCAACTAAAAGCGACTAGGTTGAACAGTCTACGAGGAAAACATTGGTTCAATCGTGAGATAGGAATGCCAAAGGCTCTACAAAACTCATACAAGATTAATGGACTTTTACTAAATTAAAGCAACACCATCTTCAGATAAACTAGGTTGCACTTCAACTGGTTCCCATTTTCAAAGCCCTCCACCAATTTCACTTCAGAAATTAAGTTTGAGCGTGACATGGTAAGCCATCCGAACAATCACAGTTGCAATTAAGATAAATAGGTCTTTCGCCAGGCAAAAAAACGGATGCTAGAAGAATTCTTGTTAATTCTGGGATCAAATTAGTCATTTCAATAGCTTTAGTTCTGCCAAGGGCTTATTAGAACATGCACGGAGGAATCTTCCCAGCAAATCTTGGAACTAGTAAACCGATATAAGATCAGAGACAACCACTTACCTCGCTCATTAATTGTAGAGTATCGGCGCAAGGAGAGAACTCCATTATCTACTCTTCTACCAAATACCTACAGCCAAAAACACCATTATGAGTAGACCTAGGACCTAGCGATTAACGGAATGGAAGGAGGATGAAGATACCAAACTAGTAAAAAAAGGAGCAGACGAGGAGGCCATGGGCAGCGAACGGAAGTAAGGAGTGAATGGGAGGAACGATTCGAAAGCCCGCCGGCCTATGGTCTCCGCTGGCGCCGGCAGCCCGGGTCGGGAAGAGCAGGGTACTGATGGGGTAGCTTGAGTAAGAAGATGACTACTCTTGTTCAATAGGAGGCCGTCGGGTACCTCCGTCGATCTCCTGATATTGCTCCGCCATAGAGATGCGTACCTTTGCAGTATTGAAGGCCTCCGCATCTGTCCCCAGAAATTTTTGCTGAATATAGTGCCAACTTCTGCCTCCCATAATACTTCATACGCTTAAATAGATTATATTTTTATTATTATTATTTGATGTAGTTTACAATTTGAACTTATTTATATGTTGCTAAATTTTTAGTATTATTAATTTCTATGTGCTAGAAATTGGCAGTGATAGATATTAAATTTCAATATCTCTGCTTATATTGTTATACATATTATTTAGGCCAACTCCAAAATAATACATCAGTGAAGAGTAAACAAGCACATAGTAGCAAACCAAAAACTTGTTTCAAAAATCAAAGTGGAAGCACACATTTATCATTATTGGAGGAATTATAGTGTGTGAAGTCGGGATATAATTCTACATCCGGACTGTGATTGTATATTGTATACACACTATGTATAAAGTGAAATGTGTACATAGTACACAGTATGTATATTCACATTCTGGATTCAATTCTACGTTTGGACTCCGTACAAAATAATTTCTCGCATTATTGGGCTTTACCTATTGTTGGCCAAGCATGTTGTGGGCTGCTAGAGAAGGGATAATTGAAAGAAAGGAAATGTCCCGACTTGGAGGTTGGAGTCTTGGAGGGCTTGTGACGCTGCGATGGGGCAGGCCGAGGGAGAGCAGTGCAGCAAAAGTTGAGAGAGTGAAGGAAGCACAGTGCAAGGGATTTGGGTTATGTTATAGGGAAGGGATGGTCTCTACCTAAAATTACATCAAATGACACATATTTCTTCAGGTTGTCGGATTCATGTTGATCAAACGATTTAATTTTAGGTTTGTGTGTCAACTTGAACCTGAACCAAGTTCAAAGTCAACCCATTTATTAAATAGGTCAAATCAAGCTAGAAATTTTCAGATCATATCTAAGTTGCATTTTCATGATGTGTCATATATTGACACCCCTAGTCCTCCCTTCCCATTTCTTGCACTAGAGATGGCATCCTTCTTATAAGCTCCTATATCCCCATGTTTCATAATGCTCTCCAACTCTCCTATTATCTCATTTATATTCATCACAATGTTGTATATGATAAATGTGTTGTTACATTTGATTCATGGGGTTTCTCTATTAAGAATGTTAAGCACAACAATAACATTCTCCAATGGCACTACCACAATGGTCTATATCACATTCCCTCCAAAATGACATCATTATGGAGCACAAGCCTTATCACGGAGACATCATCAACCTATTTGTGCCATCATCAAATGGGACACCCTAATGCAAATACAATCTCAAATATCACCAAACAATAACCCTTTCTTAAAAGTCCTATAGCTTCCATCTCCTGAAGTCACTGGATCTCCAACCAACGCCACAAATTATCTTTTTAAGCTTCTACCAATCAACAAAATAAATCTTATAGAAATTTTACATAGCGATAAAGGAGGATCCCCTCTCGCCACTCTTTCAATGTGAGGCTTTATGACCTCTTTGTTGATCATTTTCTTAGATATGCTCAATTTTACCTATAAAAACCATATCAAAATCAATTCAAAATTTTATTTATCTTCATATGTTGATAAAAATTAATGTTAACACATGTATAAAAATTCTTTGATCAAATGATGATGCAAATTTCACCTCTTCCACACTAAATGAATATCCATCCTCTCATGACACATTGCACAAATAAATATACTCTCATACTCAAACAAAGTAGAGTTCATGAATGTAAACATCATCACGTTACAGGAATCACTCATACTCTCCTATATGAAGTGAATCTTCGCTCTTATTTATGGTTTGACACCCTCCTTACAACCACACCTCATAAATCATATGCAATCCAAATCTACCCAAAATTATAATCGAGTATATTCTTGCTACTTGAATTACTTCTACATGGACTAGTTTATTTTTACTTTTTTTAGTGCTTTGTCTAGTGGCCATCTTTGGCTAGAAATAATAAATTATTTGGACTTTTATGTGCTAATCAACTCTTCATCAGATTGAGGTAGAGATAATTCTTTGTCATGATTTTGATTTTTTTTTTTTTTTGAACGGAGTATCCACCTGTTGCCACCCCCGAAAGGGCGCTTCGCGGCGTGACTAATCATCAGTTGTCGCCTAGAAGAGGCACCCACCCCATAAACCTCCTGGCCCGCATTTGATTATGCCTCACTTAAGAGGTGCTACTGCCCAACAGGATTCGAGCACGGGATGGAGGTTCCCAACCATACTCACCCACTAACCAAGCTAAGCAATAGTTGGTCATGATTATGATTTTAATACATAACATAATGTTTTGACATGTCACATTTATATATGGCGGTGCACATTGATGGTGTCTAACAAAAAAATTACCCTTTATTGCCTATTGCATGGATAATTTTTGCAAGCAATGCACAAAAAGGACTATAAGAGGAATAACAGTGTTGAAAAACATTTTCCCTTTTTCAATGGGTGGTAGATTGAGTAGGTCCTTTTTAATATCTTTTAAGTTGAAAAAAAAAAAAGATTTACTTTAAATGTTCTCTTTATTGATTTGGGTAAGTCGACACAATTAACCCCAAAGGAAGGGTGAGTTCGGCCAAGACAAGTGACAACAGTGAGTGAGAATCTTATATTTCAGTTCAAATTTTAGAATTTCGATTAGGACAACTTTTATAAAATTGATGTAGATAAATCAAATTGTTAAAACTATCTTAAAAAGCAACTTTATGGTAATTATTTTTAAGCATTGAAAAAATAATGACCTAATAAAATTGTGATTACAGTCAAAAAAACATAAAATAATAATAAAGCTATCTCAAATAAAATCTTACCATTGTATAAGATTATGATTTTATTAAGAACAATTTTTTTATGGTGCTGCACTGAATTGGGAACCGTGAGAGAAGAGAGAGAAGCTCCACAAATTAAGGAATAAATTGGAAGAAGATTTTGAAGAATTCGGGTGTGTTGAAGGTGCCATTGTTGAAGATGGAAGAAGGTGGTCGGTCATCCTCACCAAAAATTTGCTATCTACCGCGAGTCCAATCATGTTGGATTCAAGAGGTAGATTCTCCTTCAATTAAATCTCTTCTTTTCAGATTTTGGAATCTCCTCTAGTCATAAAAGAGGGAGGCTTAAATTCTATGGAAAAACTTTTGCCGATTTCAGGCAAAGGGAAGGAAATAATTTCGTTTTTGAATGATAAGCCAAAACCTTTGTCGGCTATCATTACTGGAGAAAATGATAAGGAATCATCTTCATCAGGAGGAAGTTTTGCTGATATTTTGAAAAAGGACATTGTTATTCCAATTACTTCTTCAAAATTGGATATCCCTAATGTGTGGATTAAAAAACCTCACATTAAAATAAATTTTAGTGAAATACATGATGATATTGGAGATGAAAATGTTGTCACTCTTGACAAGGAAAAGGAAAAATCTAATATTCAAATTTTGAACAATTCCTTAGTTGTTAAAATTCTTAGAAAAAACTATCCTTTTTCTAAGTGTTCATTTAAATTAAGAAAGCAATGGTCAAAATTTGGAGGATTTCATATTACATTGCTTGGTCTAGATTGGCTCCTATGTTCATTTCAGTCTCATGAAGCCATGGAGGAAGTTCTTAACGGAGATCCTTGGCTTGTAGGGGGTTTTGTGGTAGGCTTAGACAAATGGTCTCCTACCTTCTCTCCTTATTCTTTGAATGGAATTTCTTCTCCAATTTGGGTTCGTCTTCCTCATTTGTCACTACACTGTTGGGATGAATCCAATATCACTAGAATTGTTTCTAGAATTGGAACTCCATTATTATTGGATGGTAACATGTTTAGATGGGGGAGAAGGGAATTTGCTAGAGCTTGCATTCAAGTAAATTTGAATTCTAAACTCCCCTATGGAATTTGGGTGGAAGGGATTCATAGTAGATTTTTTCAAAAGTTTGAGTATGAAAATCTATCATATTTTTTGCTTCAAATGTGGAAAAATCGGTCATATTGATTCTGTGTGTCCTAATTCAACACATAATCAAAATCCTATTGTTAAAGAGGTCCCTTTCAGTTCTTTTCAATATGAAAATAATACTTTTGGGCCTTGAATGCATGTGAAGTTCAAAAACAAAAGAAGATTTATTCCTGAGAAAAAGCTTTTTAAAGTTGTCTCAACCATGGATAACTGAATGATGTTTGTGTTAATATCAAAAATGTTGCCTTGGAAGATGTTGAAGGAGACGGGATTATTGGTTCAGATTTTTCTGATGTTCGTTTGACAGCTAGAGACGTTGCTGAAAATAAGGAAGAAGAAGAAAAGGCAGTTAGACAAGGAGCTGAATCTTCCACCGCTCATCCTGTAATTGCTGAAAAATCACAAATTCAAATCCCACAAATGGAGGAGAATTTTCCTGTGGAACAAATTCTGGAAGTTCAGAATTTAAATTATGAATTTCGTTTGGCTGATCCCGTGGAAGTGGAATGCAATAATTTGAATCTCAACAACAATTTGAATTCAAATTCTGAATTCAAAATTCCTGAAATTGTGGAAGCTATTAAGGAAGGAGTTGATGCTGCCGATTCAACTCAAGTTGCTAAAATTCAGGGAACTAACAAACCATTTTTTGAATTAAAAAATGCAGATTTTCAGGAGGAAATTGCAACTCCTTTAACAGATTTGGCGGCTGTATCTAGCATTAATGTTGATCCAATTATTAATTCAGCTACTGATCCTGAATTAAAAAACAGTGTTTGCATATTAAGAGATACTTCTCCACTATCGAATATCTCTTTAACTTTTAAAAAAATTGCTCTTAAAAAAGACAATAGTCTTTTTAAGAAGAGTAAGTCCCCCGGATCTAAGCACACATTGTTCAAAGAACTTCCAGCATTAGGACCGGTGAAAGATCTTCCTAGAAGGAAGATGGCTAGAATCAAAGTGAAGAACGGCATGAGAGGTTCTTCTTCTCTTTTATCTCAATAAAGTGCAAGATGGTAATCCCGTTGACAACAACATAGTGGATAGATACTTGAAGATGGAGCAAATTATCAAAAAGTTTGGATTAACGCTATCATTGAATGCTGACTTTGGAGATTGGAAAAAGCTTATGGAATATCTTTCAATGATATTTTATTATTTTAAGTGATTTTTTGAAATTTTTGTTAAAATGTACTTTCCTTTTTAGCTTTTTTTGCTTTGTTTTTCATCTAGTTTGTTATTTTAAACTTTTTCTAATTGATTATAGAATCATTACTAAGTCTTATTCTCTAACTGGATGGGAACTCTGGGATACTAATCAACCCTCGGGTTGTTTATTACTTTGGTATCCCCTGCATCTCAACAGTTTCAAAATAGGAAATAGTGAGTTCCATATCATTTATAATAAGTTTAAATTAACAAATTTATGTCCAATAAGATCCCTTTTTCTTGTTGAAAAATGAACCATTAGCTTCCTTTATCTAGTTTGTATTAGATTGTCTTTTCTTTTATAATTAATGCAATTCTGCATTTCTTCAAAAAAAAAAAGAACAATTTTTTTACTGTTTTCTAAAGCATCTTTTTATTACAAATATTTTTTGAACTAAAAATATTTATACTAAAGAACTACTTTAGAAATCAATAAAAAAACTGTCCCAAACGAAACATTCATGTTGCCCACACTAGATCGTTGACCCCCAACCCCCTACTTATAGCAACTGCAAAGATCAATGGCACAAGAATGGTTATAGTATTAAATTATAAGAAAAATCATAAGATTGATCTTGAAGTAGCAAGCTGTGTAACATATGAGTATGATTAGCAACTTTTCATTACCGCAAGAACAAATTAATGGTGAATATATTTGAGTTCTTCTGGATAGAACTCCTACTTGTCAGACAAGTTTTTGGGATTGAGTTGATGAATTCTTCGGATGAACCAAACGAAGGTAGCTAGATACAATCTAAATTGAGATTCATTAAAAAAAAAAAAAATTAGACATTTAGGCCGTACAAATCAGATATATATGATTCGAATTCAAAACATCGTAATTAATAATCAAAACTCTCAAAGAACGGATCAATTTGAGCTGTCTAGCTCCATTCAATTTCGATCATAAACTAACTTTGCACACAGCTGGCCCGATTTCTCCGATCTAAACAACTTGAGCAATACCACAAACAGCTTGCATGCACTCTTGGACGAACGAACCCACCACTTCATCCAGCCACGCGATCTGAAGACACAAAACTATACATTACCATATCCCTAACCTCCCCCTTCAGCACCAAATACCTCCTAAGCACAGCCTCCCTCACAAACCCGGCCTTCTCCAATACCCGCTGCGACGCTGGATTCTCGACATCCGCTATCGCCTCAACCCGGTCTAAATCCACCCATTCCTCGAACGCCGCCGCCGCCGCCATCCGCACTGCCTCCGTCGCGATCCCACGGCCCCAATACTCGACCGCCACGCGGTAACCCAGCGACACAGTCCGAGTTCGGCCATGGCCGGAATCCTCTGGGCGGAGGGCGATGGAGCCGACGGGGCGGCCGCCGGAGAGGCAGATGGCGCGGTACCAGGGATGGGGAAGAACGTGAGTGTGGAGGAATCGGACGACGTCATCGCGATGGGAGAAGGGTCCACGGCGGAGGAAACGGTTGATGCGATCATCAGCGGCAAGGGATATGAGAGCGTCTATGTCGGAGTCGGAGAAGTTGAATGGCCGGAGAGTGATCGTCGGCGGCGGCGGCCGCGTTTGAGTTTGGTCTGTAGTAGTGTTGGGATTTTGTTCCGCTTCCATTTAGGGTTATGATGGGAACAAGGGGTGGAATTGGAGAGCGGTCGTTAAGTGGTCACTGGTCATCTGAGGGCCTAAGGGCTTCATTTAATGAGAAATTATTCTGTGCGGAATCCGGTTATAGATATGTGTTCGGATGCCAGTAAAATCTACACGTTGTGTGCTTACGTGAAAAGTTAGGATATTCATTTAACTTCTTACCCGACCCGTTTGTCTTTTCGGACTTACTGCAGATGAAGAGAAATCCGCAACAAATAAGCAGTAAATAAGTAGAAAATGTGTAACATATACGCAACAAATACTCAATGAATACGCAACAAATACGCAATAAAATAATCAATCAATACGCACATTTTACACAACGAATACGCAATAAATACTCAATCAATACGCAAGTCAAATAAATATCGCGGACTTTTAACTTTCCACGTAAGCATCCGAACACAGCTCTATAACCGGATTCCGCACAAAATAATTTCTCTCATTTTATGGTGCCAAAGTCGACGGCTCGACACCACATAGACAGGGTCGATAAAATCCTCTGAATTCATTAGATAAGTTAGGGGTGGAACTCTAGAAGTGAGCTGAATTGGCTCGAGCTCTAATTGTTTAACAAGCTCGGAAGTCATATTTATCGAGCCACAAGCTCAAGCTCAACAAGCTTGAGTTTAAGCTCAATGAGGCTCAGCTCGTGAGCTCGCGATCCAGCTCGAATTATTATTAATATTTTTTAAATAATTTTATTTTATTCATGTCGTTTTAAAAATCCCACGGAAGACCCATTCGAATTCATGATTCGCGGATTGGACCTCAGAACTAGGAATGACAGAAGGCTCATAGTCGCAAATGCATAATGACGGAAGGCTCGGAACCAACTGCGGAAGGCGAACTAGACACGGGAATTCGAAACAAGGGAGGGAATGTTTTGTGGGAAAATGAAAATAGGGGAAATTGGAGTAAGAACTTCAAATTGAGCCACTCGACGAGTTGACCTGAAATGCGATGAGTCGAGCATGAGTTCGAGCCAAATTTCTGACTGACGTGGCGAGCTTGATAAGACCGCTACTTGACTCGACTCATTTAAACCCCTATGATGAACCCATCTTGGGTCTTTTTTATTTAAAATATATTTAATTAGTGTGTTTTGATTATTTTTTATTTTAAAAATAAATATTTATCATCTATATGCTCATTTTGTATCATGTCTTTAAAAGTAAAGCCACTCACCCACCTAAGCATCCTCATCTCTGCAACACTTAACTTAATATTATGCTTCTCTTTTAAAGGCCAACATTCTGCACCATAAAGCATTGCAAATTTCACCACCATCATATAGAATTTTCCCTTAAGTTCATGGGGGACTTCTCTATCAAACAACAAGCCCGATGCATTCCTCCACTTCAACCATTTAACATTAATTCTACTAATGATATTTCAAATTTTTTCACCATCACGCTGAACAATAGACCCAAGATATGTAAAACGTGTACTCTTATTAATGACTTGATCTCCCAAAGTCGTAATCCCCCACTAGATCTATTATTACTAAAATTATACTTCATATATTCAGTTGTAGATCTACTCAAACAAAAGTCTTTACACTCTAAGGTTGACCTCCATAATTCAAGTTTACCTTCAACTCTCTCTCTAGTCTTATCAACAAGAACAATATCATCAGCAAAAAACATATACCAAGGTAGAATATTATGCAAATGTTTAATGAGAACATCTATGACTAAAACAAAAAAAGATATGGGCTTAAGGATGATCCTTGATGTAATCCAACTGAAATAAGAAAATACTTGGTCAAACCACCTTGTGTTTGAATGGAAGTAACAACTCTTACATTTATATCCTTAATGGCTTGAATAGAAGTATTATTAACCCCTTTCTTTTCTAGAACTCTCTATAGCACTTCTCTTGGAACTTTATCATATACTTTCTCTAAATCAATAAATATCATATGTAGATCCTTCTTATTCTCTTTACACTTCTCCATCAAACATCTCAATAAATTTATAGGTTCCATAGTAGACCCACCCAGCATGAATCCAAATTGATTTGGAGAAACATTAGTATCACGATACAACTTATGCACCATAACTCTCTCCCATGATTTTAAAATATGACACATTAATTTAATTCCTCTATAATTCATACAATCTTGTACATCAAATTGATTTGGTGTTAAGGTCACTAAAATCGATCACATTCTAATAATTTTCATTGAAAAGTTTAGCAAAATATCTCATCCACCTTTGTTGAATATCCTCTTTTAATAAAAACGCTTTTTAATCTCTTTGTTTGACTAACATACATATATCCTTCACCCTACTTAATATCTAATTTATTATATATATCATTAAAAGTTAAAATATTTGCACCGCGTATTGCTTTCTTAGACTCCTTACGTGCATCTTTATACCTTTCCCAATTATTAGAATTTTTACATCTATACTAATTTTTATAACAAATCTTCTTAGTTTTTATTTATTCTTATATATTTTGATTTCATCATCAAATATTTTTACTATTTGGAAATTTTCCCTTTAATACTTCATGTATATCTTTTGTAACATTATTAATATCACTAGCTATTTTTTTCACATAATATTAGCTTTTTTCATGCACAGACAAAATCTTAAGATCTAGAATCTTACACTTAAAAATATTTTTAGTAATATTTTTTAAACATCCCCACCTAATCCTAGAATAACATTTAACTTTATTTTTAATTTTATGATCATTCATATTAAATTCCAAAACTAATAAATTTAGATAAAAAGAGGCATCTTCTTCTGTGGAGTTGCCAGAAAATCTATTGGAGAACTTTTGTCATCCTCAATGGATTGTATATTTTGTGATCGAGCACAATAAAAAAAGGAAGATAAATTATCCCGTAGGATAAAAATATCTTTTTCTTATGGGCTCAATAACAAAATTTATAATTTTAATTTTTAATAAAGATTACCTTCCATTCAATATTTGGTTTAATATGGTTTATTTTATTCTGGGTATAGATATCAAATAGGGGTAAGATGATATGGTTAATTATATCTCAAGTTATTAGTACTTGAAAAACTTTTGATTAAACTAATAATTTTATCTTTTAAAAAAAATTATCAAAATATTGGCTAAAGTTTCCATTTTAAAATCCATGAAATTCTTGTTTAAAGATTTTATGTCTTTAGGAATTTCAAAGAAAGAGGGGGATCAACTTTGATTGGAGTTCCTGGAGTGAGGGCCAAAGAGAGGAAGAGTAGGAGTACTTGATTTTAAGGGGAAACTCAAAGATACTCAAAACTATTATATATTGGTCTTTACATTTTAGAATTCAATTTTATTTAAGTTCATTATTTTGATTTAAAATGTTGGGGCTTATATTCCAATAACACATATTCGGTGATATGCAAATGAAGGACGATTTGGTAGTTTTCCTACAACTTTTGGGTTGTAGGAGGGAGAAACAACATGTAATCCATGGGTTGCATGTTGGAGGATGATTCATCAAATTTTGTCATTGATGAAGCGAGATTATTTATCCAATTATGTGTCGGGTAAATATAGAAAGCAATGTTAAATTTACAAGCTACAAATTGGAGGAATTTTTTTTAGCATTTGGTGTTCAAAGAAAGAGATATACACTCACATAATTTAGGCTAAGTGGATATTGTTGCAACTCAAGCTTATGAGTTTATATTTTTGATGATAACAAATATTATGGCTCAGTTTCTATTGTCTACTTGTATTTGCAATATATGTTTATTTGTGTGTATACTAACATTTTAGGAATATCATGCAACATCAAACAAAAAATTAGAGCTCAAGATTGGGTTGAATAATGTTATGTTGTAAAAGGGTATGTAACATTCATTGATGTAATTTTGATTTCTTGAGTCAAGTCTTATAAGGGTGTATGCTTGCTTGGTGACCATGCACACATACTCAAGGGAGTGAGATCTACACAAATCCAGAAGATCAAGTTTTAAACTAATCGTATTGGACGATTTTGGATCGTTCAGGATGATCCTTTATGATCTTGGAAAAGAGCCACCAATGACGATTTAGGCAAATATTTAAGTTTAAATTTTTGTTATAATCATCTCGGACGATCAATACAAATCATGCCTAAATTGATCCTGTGATTAGGGGACTAATTATGGTTAAATTTTTCAATCTGATTGTCCCAAACGATCTGTATATCGTACAGGACGATGTTTGCCGACATACTTGATTTTCCTAAATCATCCAAGCCGAAATACCATAATTTTTCTTCTAATCGTCCTGGACGATCCACAATATCGTCCTAGATGATTTGTACATTTTTTTGTACTAATCGTCCTGGACTATCCAAATATCGTCCAGGAATATCAGGACAAATTCTACACATCGTGCTGGATAATCTTGAGATCATCCAGGACGATTCTGGGCGCCAAAATTAATTTTTTAGGATTTTCTGAAGCCCTCTTTTTAAGTGCATCATACGGGACGATCCGACGATCGTCCTGGACGATAATGTTGGTTTTGCAATTCTATTTAAAGACCTCTTGTTTTCTCATGAAAAGTTTCTTTGGCAGCCATTGTAGCTTTGTTCTTTTGAAGGGAACTTGAAGAGAGAGCTTGAAAGGGAGAGAGGAAAGGGTGGAGTTTGAGAGAGGGAGAAGATCCTTGGAGGAGGTTTCAAGAGAGTGTGGATGGGCATTCCACATGGTTGCTCCGACAAGCTTGTACCTTAGTACAATCGGATTCAAGGCTTATCTTGAGAAAAGTTTTAGGAAGAAGAAGATCTCTTTGGTGTCAAAAGACCCGGCTACCCCGCCGCACCGAGGAAGGTGGAAGTGATTTTATAAGGGCTTCTCCGCCTAGCTTTGGGGGCTAAAAGAGAGATACTGGATTTAGTGCAATACTCGGAGGGTGCCTCCGAGGAGTGGACGTAGGTCAAGGTTTGACTGAACCACTATAAATCTGGTGTGTTCTTTCCTTTATTATTTTCGCATTTAATTTCCGCATTGTGTTTTCTTTGTGGTGGATTTTGGGTTGACTTTTTTATTGCGAAAGATATTTTAAAATACCAATTCACTTCTCTCTTAATTAGCCTTGGGCTAGTTCATAAGGGCCTAACATCCCTAACGAACTTTCAGATGTAATGTATTTTCTATAGCTTTGACTTGTACAAAATAGCAAGGAAGATGTAACTTAAGAATGTTAAACTTGGAAGAGGTTTATTTGAACTCTTGATGTTCAAAGAGAGTTGGTCATTTACTTAATTTAGGCTAAATAAATGGAAGAGACTAGGATTTGGATCCTATGTCTAAGGGGGCATGTTCATTTGTTGACTTTGTGTTTCAAACAAATGGAATAAAAGAACTTAGAGCTTAGTTCTATAGTTCAGGAGTCGGAGCATGATGTATTTAGGATTTTAGGGGAAATCCATAATACCATGCAAGAAGATTGGTGGGTGTTTATTGATTTTGGTTCAACAAATAAAGGGTAAATGACTTAGATTTTGCTTCTAAGATCCAAGGACCCATTAGAATAACATTTGGAACCTTGAGGAGGCTCCAACAATCATGCATAAAGGGATAGAGAGGTGAACGGTTGTTGAGTTTATGTATCAACAAATAAGAGATGGATTGAATGATTATGCAATGAAGTGTTTGGAGCGTTGAGATGCCCCAAATTGTTCATGCATGAATGGGAGGAGGAGAGATTGCTTATTGATTTTGTATCAACAAATAAGAGGTGGAATGGCCATAAGAATTTGATCCTAAAGTCACAAGATTCATGCAATCTAACACTTAGAATTTTGATGAAACTCTAAGTATCATGCATGAAGAAGATGCATATGAGAAAGAGAATTTTCTATTTTTATTTGAGTGTTTTATACTTTATGTTGAATAGGTGATGCTCATCTAAATGCCTCTCAATGGATCATAAAGATCAATTTTATCATGACCTAAGAGCGACCTAAGGGTGTGCAAGAGGTGATTTATCACTTACATGCTTTTGGATAGGCCCTTGTTATGATCTAAAGAAATCATAGGAATAAGTTTAAGTGATTTGTTATTTTAGAAATTTTATCATGTGCTTAGGTTATGTGTTGTTACCCTCAACACATCAACTTGCAAATTACACTAAACATGTCTAACAACTTAAATACGTGATGGGGTGTAATATATAAATTCTTGAAAGCCGTAGAACACTCTACCCTCGCTTTATAAGCATTCATGAGTTTGGTGGACACATTTATGATTTTGTAAAACTTAGGCATATATAATTATCGTAGCGAGTGACATAAATAAGCTTAACTAATTTCATATATGATGGAACATCAATTGTGAACCTTTGAGAGTTCGCATGAAACTCCGACTTTGCTTCATGAAAGCTTGAAATTAAATAGGCATCTTTATAAACTTTTCAAATTTCAGGACTTTTGGTAGAATAGATAAACTCAATAACCATTTTTTTGTAATGAGATTTTGTGTATACTAAAGATGAACTTAATTAATCACTTTATCACAGGCTTCATGAAGTAGACCTTTGAAGTTCTACATATGACCATAATGAGACACAAGTTTAAATCCCTCTCTAATATCTCCAAAATGGCAATGGCTCTCAAGTGCAAAAGCCCAATTAAATGCAAACTTCTACTCTTGAACATATACAATTGGCATTTGATTTAGAATCAAATGACAATCTAAACCTATGGTTTGATTGACGGTGACAACTAAGGAGACAACATTAATGCATTTCATACAAGGTAGGGGCATTAGACACGAGTCCAACAGCCCGAAGCTTCATCACTGTCCTCTTTTGACCCTCACATGAGAGTAATCAAAAGAAAATCACTAGATTTGCATGATTGGTCTGAGAGGACAACGAATGAATAAATTTCTTGAAGGTTTGGAAATTAGATGCAAGGGTTTTCTAGGTCCCTAAGATTTTGGAACATTAAACACATGATCAATGGCTTGAGGATATAGTGCTTCTTCTAAGTTTCAAAGGATTTTATCTCGCCAGGTTGTTATGGCGCTAAACACCCTCCACTCACCTTTATATGGAGGAAGAAGACTACTGGCCAAGTGCTCCAAAGTATTGGTTTGCTATGTATGTTGCTCCCATGTATTGATTTCATCATCAAGAGGTCACCAAAGATGATGGGTAGGGAAAATGAAGCTCCTACAATGAATGAGAAGCCTCTAAATACATCCACTATCCTCCTGCCCTATCTATTTTGCTTGAGGAAAAGAAAAGATAATGACTACACTCTTCCACTTGGAGAAAAGAAGAAAGATGAGGAGGTATGTCCCTCTCTTAGCCTAAGAAAGAAGGAAATGACAGCCATGAATCAGTGGCTTGAATGGTTCAATATGTTTGGACTAGAGTCAACACCTGGACGCACGTACAAGATATAAAAAATGATCTCTTTGCTCGAGTTAGATAGAAAAAGCTCCCTGCTCGTGAATCCTTAGCACGCACGGGTCTCCTATACGCAAGCAGAGGGTCGGCTGACCCTCTTCTTCCCTTCGGCAGGATGCGCGCAAGCAAGACAGAGCCACTTAGCTCTCTCTTTCTCCCTCCCATTCGGCTAAGTCAGACAAATAGGAAGAAGAAAAGCCCAAATAGCCAATCTCCCTTTCTTTCACTGTGTTTTGGGACACATGAATCAAAGCTAGTCGAATGCCTTTTTCTTCGTCTCCCGCTCCCTCTATCTCTTGCAAAATGAAGACATGAGCTACTTGAGGAGATCTTCTATTGCAATATCATGTTATAGCCGCTCAAATCAGACATGATTCAATGGGAAAAGACACTTTAGCAGCGATCTTTGAATCTCAATCCTTGGATCTAATTTTCTTGTCTCAGGGAATGATTAGAAAGGCTAAAAAGTCCAATTTAACCTGTTTGAGATTAAATTGACTTGATTTGGGTCAATTGAGCTGAAATTGAGCCCAAATTAGATTCAATCTGAATCAATTTGGGTTGATTCGAGTTCGATTAGGTCCGATTGAGCCATATTTGTGAAATTGAGCTCAAATTAGTGCTGAATTTGGTCAAATTTGGTTAGACGAGACTTAATTGGGTTTGATTTGGACCAATTTAGCTTTAATTTGATGAATTTAATTAAATTATGGCTCGATTTGGGTCAATTTTAGTTTTACGGCGTTCGAACCAAACGTGATCGAGCCCAAATGGTATTGAATCGAGCTCAATACGAAAATATACGTAAACAATATACTCACGTGTATATAAAAAATGAGATTATTAAAATATCTTAATAATTATTTTATGAAAAATGTTAATTTAATTAAATATTTGGCTTATTTTTATTATTGATTTTGACACATATTTCATTTATATAATGCATACTATAAAAATAATAAATTTTATATTTTTGTATGTTCCATTCCTCATATTTGTGTCCATTTTTCTCAATAAATTATAAATAAATATATTTTTAATTTTTGTCATTAACGACTGATATGGATAGCCGAATTTATTTCCTCATGTTTTTAATACATAAATCTCATTATATTATACAATCAACATTAAAATTTTGCAATCTAATATTATTAATAATAAAATAATTGCATAATAATTTCAGAATATAAAAATTCAGAAGTCGAAAGATTATCATGAAATAATTTATTTAAAACAAATGTCATTAACATAATTTTAATGAGATTATCATGAAATTTATTTAAAACATAATGTATTATCATGAAATAATTTATTTAAAACATTTGAGATTATCATGAAATTAAAAACAAATGTCATACAAATAATTTCATTTTAATTTAAAATATATGATGATATAAGGAAATAGTTTATTTAAAAAAAAAGGTAAAAAAAGGCAACGTACGCTCACAAAAATGAAGATAAAATACACTCAGAAAGTTATCCCGGCGGACATATTTAACAATAAACGGAAGCCAACGTACGCTGCCCTTTTCTCCCGTAGACGACGCCGTGCAAAGCAAATCCCTCACATTTATTCGGAAGAAATGCCAAACCAAAATATCCTTACAATAATATACTTAATTTCAAAGGATAATGCATATCTTCCATAAAAGATTTAAGCAAATGCTGCCATTTAGAATCATTTAATTTTTTTTTAATTTTTTAAATATTTATTTTAAAATAGTGATGGCACACACAAAGTCGAAATCGTGTACTACTGAGGAGGGGTTTGATAGCAGAATTTAGGTCGGATTTGAGACGGATGTGAGCGAAATCCAGCCAAACAGTCTAAAATACAAAAACCAAATCAAATGGCAAATGAAAGCCGTTGCAGACAAAAAATTCTTCCTTTTCGTGCTAAATCCAAGATTTTTTAAAAAATTATGCTTTTTGTCAGATTTACGAAATCCGTTGGATGAAGAGAAAGAGTCCGCTCATTAAATTCGTTCTATAGCCAAACAGTCACACATGATTTAATAGGATTTGTCATGAATGTTACCAAACAGTTTTCAGTATTTAGGCCCCTTAGGATTTCCGAAATCCAGATTTAGCAGATTTACGAAATCCTACTTAAATCGAATCCTGGCTACTACCAAACAACCCTTTAGTACAATAAGGGATATCAAATTTTATTTTTCGGCCCCAACCAAATTTTTTTTTTCACACAATATACCTCTCCAAAAATTAAAAGCCTCTTGACTACCGCTATTTTCATCTGTTTATGTTAAATTTTTCTAACACTAATAAACAAGTCTGCGAAAAATGATTATAAGTAAAATAATTTATTTTTACATCATTATATATATTTTTATTTTTTTATAAGTTTATCACTTGCTCCGAGAGCTAAGACTGATTCCGCCCGTGCTCACACAGGCTATTTACCATTCCAAATCACCTATAAAAAGTTTCAATTTCCTCCCCACTCCCCAACCCTTCTTCCTCCCTAACAACCTCAGATGAGAATAATCAAAGCAGCCCTAATCACTATCGCCATTACTCTCCTCTTCATAGATAAATCTTCAGAAGAAGACGACTGCGTAGCTGCAATAGTCAGTCTCCAACCTTGCACAGACTATATTACAGGCAGTAGCTCAGCTCCTACTCCTCAATGCTGCTTGAAGTTAGCGACAGTGGTGAGCACAGAACCTGCTTGCTTGTGTATAATCGTTAATGGCGGTGGCTCTCAGTTCGGGATCCAAGTTAATCAGACCAGGGCTTTGGCTCTCCCAGGTGAATGTAAAGTTCAGACTCCGCCAGCCAGTCGATGCAACGGTAATATTGGAACTCTGATAAGCTCCCACTGGAACTCTGAAACAATCAAAATAGAATAGAAAAGCATTAGATGATCAGCTTCAAATTTTTACTATTCTTTGTCTAACACCAACTTAAAAGTCCTAAAAATAAAAAATAAAAATCAACTTAAAAGACGTCAATACTAAGGGGCTGTTTGGTAGTATTCGGGATTTGATTTAAGTAGGATTTCATAAATCCTCTAAATCTGGATTTTGGGAATCCTGTGAGGGCCTAAATCCTGAAAAAGTTTGGTAACATTCATGATAAATTCTGTTAAATCTTATGTGACTGTTTGGATACAGAGCGGATTTAACAAGCAGACTCTTCTCTCTCGCACTCATAGAAGCTTAAATTCGGCGAAAAAGATAATTTTAGGAATCCGGATTTAGCACGAAAAGGGGGAATTTTCCGTCTATGGTGGCTTTCATTTGCCATGAGATTTGGTTTTGCATTTTAGACCATTTGGCTGGATTTCGCTCAAATCCACCTTAAATCTAGCCTAATCCTGCTACCAAACAGCCCCTAATGTTTCATTTGTGAGAGGTTTTTTATAGCTTTCTGACTAAAAAGTTGATTTTAAAAATAATAAAAAAATTGTCCCAAATGAAGCCAAAGTTTCCCTTGCTTTTTTTTTTAAAGGAAAGCTTTAAGTATTTCCTTGCTTATAACTTGCTAATACAAGTCAAATTGTTATTGCAGCAGCTACGGTGCCATCGCCGTCCGTTTCTCCTCCCGGTGGAGGCAATTCTAACGGCGGAGATTCTGCGGGAAGGTTTTTGAAGCCAGTGTCCCTTCCTGTTGTCTTCTCTATTGTAACAACAGTAATAGCTTATCTTTCAATGTCTTCCATGATCTTCTAAACCTAAATAAGCTTCAGCTGTGTGAAAGATCACTATTTTGTCATGCAAATCATTATTTTTCTGTAATGTCTCTCTATTTCCAGGTTATGTTATGCTTTTTTCCTTAGAGAGAGCTTATTTTTATGGAACCAAATAATTTCAGCAAAGAGGTTCACTGTAAATCCGGATGTCCCTATATTTTTCACTGTAACCTCAGCATTTGGGATAATGGAAGAAGTTTCTCTACCTCTTCAAGACATGTCGAATATATTAAGGAACAAAGTGTAGAAACAACAGATGATTCTCTTGTTCATGAAGATTTTTTGCCATAAAATGCTTCTCTAATAGAAAAATTGAAAGTTCTCTCGAGAAAATTGTGCTTGATCAGTTCAGCCTCAGCACCAAAGATGCTATAAACGGGACTGTAGTCGTTTAATCTCCATTCTGCACAGATGTGTGATAACTAATGAAGAGGATTTCCATGCCATATGATGCGGTCAGCGATCATACGTTTTAAACTAGGAAGAATCACCATTCTCTTTTAACCATGAAAAGTAAGAGATGATCAGTAGGTTTTGTTTAGGATGATTATAATTTTTTATAAAAATTATTATAAGCTGCTATAAAAAATTAAGTTTTTTAAAAGTTGCTGTTGAAAGTAACTTTTTAGTACAATTTTTTTAAAAAAATTAGCAAAAAAACAATCAAATATAAATTGTGATTATGGTATGAAAAAATAAAACAGCCAAAGTCTTATAATTCATTTGGGTAGGCTGCAACTTTTTATAAAACTGTCTATAAAACTATTGTGGATGACATATTTTTTTAAAACTATAGTAGTAAGTAAATTCCTAGAACAAAAAGTTTCGAAAATGATGAAAAAATAATTGTCAAACAGAAATTATGATTGCGATCTGAAAAATAAAACAATAAAAAAATTATCGAAACGAAGTCTAAGTTTCCTCGCAATTTACCTTTGGTGCATCCCATCATAAGCAAATGTAAAGATCCGAACATGTTGGTGAAAAGTACATAGTTTTATGTCTTTGGTGTGCATGTGTGATTCAGTTTTCATTTGGGACGATTTTTTTGTTGCTTCTTAAATAAACTTTTTAATACAAAATTAAAATTTTTATACTAGAAAGCAGCTTTAAGAAGCAACAAGAAAGCCATTCCAAACAAAGCCTAAGAAGCTATTGCGCTGCAATTTCATTAGTGTTAAGAAACCATATTTATCCTAAATCTAATACTCCAACTAGATATGAGCTTTCTTCTCTATAATTACAAAACTATTGTTCATATAGATCAAAATCATATTCTTTAGGTTCTAAAACAACTTTTTAATATAAAATTTTTTAACTAAAAATTTTTATACTAAATAATAATTTTAAAAAACAATAAAAAAAACTATCTCAAATGAAACCTTAGCTTAACTAAGAAGTAAGTTGACTCGGTAGTCGGTACCATTGGAATAGAAAAGGATGTAGGTACATGTGATAAAGCTACCATCATTTACAATTTTAATGTGTAAATCAGCTGTTCCTGCCAAAATCACTGGTTAGCCCTAATTTAAAAATTATACAATTTGATGATAAAAAACAAAACTAGGAATTTCTTGAGCATAATCTATGCATGTATGATCAGCAAATTTTAGAATGATATGATCATTCAACTATCACAAACTATCTTTCTTTTGATTAATTAAACTCAAAAAGATCCCAAACTTGAAAAAATTATTCCATCCGATGAAAATACCGAGCAATACCGAGCATATCGAGCGCGTTGTATCGAACACGGTACCGAGCACTTTAATGACATGGTGTTTTGGTATTGATTTCCGGATGCATTCGATAACCTGACGGAATAATCACTCCCAAACTTAGCTACAACAATTCCTTGGTCACCAAGAGCTAGTTTCCAGGGCAACCATGCTCCCAAGAAATCATGAACAGTAGCTTTATCAAATGAATCATGGAGAAATTGCATTATTTTGTGGCTATAGACAAAAAATTCTCGATCTTTTAGGCTTCGTTTGGGACGGCTTTCTTACTCCATAAAGCAGTTTTCTAATACAAAAAATAAATTTTTTGTATTACAAAATTGCTTTAAGAAACAGTAAAAAAACCGCCCCAAACGAAGCCTTAATCTCAACAAATTCAGAATGCAGGAATAGAAAAATGGTGTGATTTTCTCATTGATTGGAAGTGGCACCACTCATTACAAGATCAGTGTCTAAGTAACATGATCAGCCTGCATCAGAATAGCTTGGAATATGCTTGCATATTTCACTTTACCGAAGGAAAAAAAAAAAAAACTTTATCAAAAGTAATCCTTGACTAGGAATATCAATTACCTGGTCAAAACTTCTTCCAGCTGATAGTTTTTACTTTATAATGGATTCAAAACTCCAATTCAATCAGTCTCTACCATGGACCAGTGCAAGTGTCTACTGAGAGTATCTCTCATGGCCTGTCCACTAGAATCTATTTGCTGACAATTCTGCTCTTTATAACCAGTATCATGATGATCTGATAACATAAGATTAGGATGCAGGGCATCTCTGCTATCAATGATAATATTGTGTAGTAAGCAGCAAACAAGAATTATACTTGGTAATTTGTGTTTATCAGGTCTCCACATGACCTTACTGAGAATACTCCAAACAGCTTTGAGCTGTGAGAGAGCTCTTGTAGCCAGTAAATTCACAGTCTTATGTTTTTCATTGAAGATGGCCATAGAAGCTGAGAGCCCCTTTCCGACGTATGGAATCATCAGCCATGGGAGAAGAGGATAAGCCGAATCACCTACTATGAATTCTCTGATTTCTGCTTTCTCTGCAGAGAGCTTGACAGGGCCATTCAAGCGCTTTCCACTCTCGCAGAGTTTGTAAAAGCCAGAGCACTTTAACAATCTGGACATGGTCATGCTGCCAGGCCAACCAGTAACTATGTCAAGAAATCTCATCTCTTGGTCAACTATAACTTGCAGAAACATGCTATAGTTGCTCTCTTGATCGCACCAATCATGAGATGATTCGACCGCAGGTAGAGTCATGATGATGTGGGTGGCGTCGATGGCTCCGCAGCAGTTGGGAAAACCAAATATGGTCTCGAACTTGGATTTTATTTGCTCCATTCTTTCAGGTTCTGGCCATTGGAGATGATGTCTAGCTCGTTCTTCCATGGATTCTATAAATCTCCATGTAACCTGAGAAACAGTGGACTGGCCAACACCAAAAGCTCCTCCAACGGATACTTGGGCTTCTCCAGAAGCCAACCTTCTCATTGCAATAGCAACTTGTTTCTCAACGCTGAGAAGCCTACCTTCAATGTTTATGAGTCCTGATGGAGGTCTGGACACTAAATCCTGCCTAACTATGGAACAGATATACTCAAAGGTAGTCTTTGATACCCTGAAGAAATATTTGAATGCTTCATCTTCGTCTAAAGGAACACCTGGCCCTGCACCTTTAATTGATTAGTTTTGGCATTTATGATATCCAAAGTATACTTAAATTACTTCATAATAATCTAAAAGTTGATAACAGGAGTGTGTCATCATCTTCAGAGCATTAAGCAGAAAAATCACAAAAAAAAAATTATGCAATTCAAGCATAAAGACTAGCTCATTTAACATCTCATTTAACATCTTCGAAATCCTTCTGGAGAAACAATGAAGGAGCTCCTACCGCTAAAATCACGAACAGATATTGATTGCATTCAGAAATATCTTAAGTCTGGTCAGGATATATATTAAATATGCATAAATCTCCCACTAATACCGCTTTGAACTAACATGGCTTTAAAATACACATAAGTGGAGTTAAAAGCATTTTCTGTCCATAGGGGATGCAAGTCCTGTCATCAGGCTGTTCAACCAATAAATTAAAAGATCAAAGTGCCTTCAATAAAAGTAAAGTATGGATTTAGCATGGATTTTGGAGAAGATATGACTTTTCCCTCCACCCACAACTTCCCAAGTTTCTAAATGCCCTTCATCCACGAGGCTATAAATAAGATCTTGCACCCAAAAGTGGATTGTAAGTCACTCTCTATTTTGGTTCCCAAGGGAAGCTATATAATGATTTTAATTATTTTATACCTTCAACCTCATTAGGTGGATAGAATGTTGGAGATCCTTCTCAAGGACTACAACCCTTAGGCCTCAAGTAGAGAACCAATGCTTTATTTTTTTAGTTATTGTTGACCTCATTATTGGAGGTCAATTTCCCCGGAATCAACTCTAGCACCTAGGTTTTCGTAGCCTAGTGTAGACGTCGTTCCTACAGGATTATCCTTTGGTGGACGCCCACTGACAGAGAGCTGACTCGACCCTCTTATTCAACCCAAATCAAATTAAACCATTTGAAATTATTTAAAATCAAATTCATCAAATTTGATATTAAGCGAAACTAATTTGATTAAATCAACATCAATCCAGTTGAAATTACTCAATTTAAACATGATTTGAATTAAACTAACTCATCTAAAACTAATTAATGCCAAATCGATGTCGATCAAAACAAGTCAATACAAATCAATGCAATATCAAGTTAAATATATTCGATTCAATTATATGTATCCAAAATCATTTCGTCAAATTCCTCTAAAAATTAAATTCAATCTCAGCCTTTAGATCCTTCTCTAGATCAGGTTTTAATCCAAACCTTTGATTTTAAAATCAGGAGAGAGAATGGTGCGGTCAGGGCTGGTTGAACCGAACCCCACTACCTCCTATCAATTCACGAAACCCCCACTCTCCCATTGGCACTCCCTCTCTGCAGTTCTGAAATCCCCAAGGCTCCTTTCTCATATTTCGGGCAAGAACCGCTCCGTCTCTCTCCCACTCTCTCATTCGCACTCACAAAACAGAACCTCCTCTCCGTCTCTCATTGTCTCACAACGATCCCAGGCGAAACCATCCTCCTCCCATCGCCCTCTCTCTGGTTGCTCTCTCCAATTCATAAGAAGCCCCCAGCCAGTCGCCTCTGTTGTTCGCGAAACCCCACCCCGTCCGATCCTCTCTGCGATTCGCGAGCCTAAGCTGACGACCCCGGCTGATTCTTGCCCTAGGCCGTAACTTCCCATAGCCTGTATATTTTCTTCTTTTTGACTTCTCTCCTTCCTAAAATCTATTTTATCCTTCTTTCATTCTTGAATAACCTTCTTGCATTTAAATTAAACATTGGAAATGACAATCTAAAATTTTCTTGTAAAAATCTGAAGCAAAACTTGTCTCCTTTCTCTCCTGATGATTAGAGAAATGATAAAAAAAAATCAAGAAGAAATTGTTACAGGTTTTAGCATTGAAAATATTTGGATTTTGCTACTTAATTTTACATAAGAAAACGTATATATTTGCTGTAGTTTTTGCATTGAAATGGATGGATTTGCTACAAGTTTCTGCATAAAAAAAAATGTGTATGGATTTGCTAAAAGTTTCAGATTTTTTTTTGTTTCGGAAATATTTTGATTTGCTACAGATTTTTGCATAAGAAAATGCATATATTTGCTACAGTTTTTTTTTGCCGTAATAGAATGAATCTTTGGGAAGAATGAAATAGTATCAAATAATCTGTTCCGTGATAACATCTTAATATAAATGTAAAGTTGGAACAAATATATGCATGTTTAGGTTTATTTTCCTTCATAGCAAGCTCTCTTTTTAATGTTATTTTTGTGAGAAATTAGAGGTTGCTTGGAGGGAAGATACGATTGTTTATGATTGGTTTCTGATCTCTTAGCAAATAAAAGTTGTTGAAAGGTTTCATGTGAGAAATATTTTGGAAAATGTTTGTGTGGAAAAGAATATGTCTATGTATTCAAAAGTGAAGCTTGTGTGTGTGTGTCTTGTGAAGTGTGTAAATTAAAATTGGTTCATGGTAATATCGGAAAGTAAACTATAAATGAGTTGAAATAAAGTAAAAAGTATATTGTTGACCTCGTTTTTGTCCTGATTCGTCATCGACTACGTTTTATTGTATTGATCGGGCCTCGTCGAGCCCGATTCGTTTCGAATCGACGTTAATTCGAGTTTGATTTTATCTTATCTTATTTTAGTGAATTAATTTTGGTCGAGTCGAGGCGAGCTCAAGTTGACCCGGATCGAACCATACTTGACTCAATTTTGAACTTTATTTTAGTCCTTTGGGTCTAACTTGATACTAATCAAAGTTTGATTGAATTTCCAAACCGGTTTGAATCCCACCGTTGGATCAAGGAATTTGATCGGACGGCTCCGATCTACCCTCTCTTCCTTGGCGCCCTAATTGAGGCTAAAGCCTCCATCCCACTCCCTGGCTCCCTCACTGGGGGGTCGCAGAAGCAAGGAGGCGGAACTCCTTCCCTACTCCCGTCTCTTTCTCTGTTCGCGAATACCAGCCGAGCCCGAAGGCCGTCCGACCTCCCTCCGTCTCTCTCTTTCTCTTGCGTGAGCAAGGAGAGACCGAACTCGTGGCTTTGGCAGACTCCGAAGCCCTGTCCGTCCCTCTGCTCCGATGTTCTCCAACCAAACCTGAAGGCCCAAGTCGCCCCTCAGCCAAACCTGACGCCAGCCTACTCAGCCCCATCCGTGAGCTGTAGCGACCATAGACGCCGATCCGTCGATCCCAGGCTTTAGCCGAACTCTTCCTGAGCAGGTATACTACCTTTCTCCCCCCGTCTTCTTGTGGTTCGCATGGCACCAGTCTCGCCGAGCTCTAGCCACCCGATCTCCCTCCTCGTCCGATCCCACCTCCAGCGACGAAGCCTAAGAAGTGTCAAAGCCCCAGGCGATCTCGGACCTGTCGCCTTGTCCGACGACAGCCCCCGACTCCCTGCTCCCGCCGAGCCCTAGCTTCCGTCCGCCCCTAGTGATCGAAACTGCTTTGCCTTGTCTTCTTCTGGCAGGTAATCACTCTCCTACTCTTTTCTTCTACTTTTCCTTCTTGTTTTACCATTTCTTCATCTTCTCTTTAACATTCATCATATAGCTTCTACTTCTTCCCTGCACGTCTATTTTTTTTTTTTGAGATATGAGTAGCAAAGCAGGTTCTATGTTTTTCTTAAGAAACCTAAGAAAATCTTGTGACATTGGGTTTAATACTACCATATGAATGCCTTCAGTTATAGGTATTTCATTCTAAAGAGCATTATCATTTGAATTTAAAAAAAAAATCTGAAACTTAATGATCCTTTGATTTTTCCTTCCTATATGCGTACATGTGTATTTTCTTACTAAGTTAGTAATGGCATGGATAGTGGAAAGTTCCTTGTAGGTCGCTTATCCAAAGTTGATCGAATAGGTGTATAAATAATGATCTTTTGTGGTGATTCGTTTTGTATGATCTTACAACCATTGCACACCAAATATTTGGTGAAGCGGCATTAAGAGAAAGTCATAGTTATTTATGCTTATATTGAGATTTTATGTGATAGTCTTGCACACATGGATGAGTTTCTCGGAAATCATTAGTTAGAGGTTTTTGTGCTTTCAAATTGAAGACTCTCATGAGCATCAATTAGTTGGTTGGAGAGACTCCAATGTCATCCACTATGGCTTTTATATATTCATCATGTCTTGCTCTTATTGTGTTGAGACTTGAGAATACCTCGTTGTTCAAACTTTATTTCTTGTGGTGATGGCATGGTAGTTTGGAGACAACCAAGAATTCCTAAGCACTTGTGTGAATCCATAAAAGTGAAAATTTGGTTGGAGAGTATTTTCTTTTATAGTATTTTAAGAGGTGATGTGGATTTTCTCGCTTTGAAGCTTACTTCTATATCCTTAAATAATGAGGAAGGATTGCTCATATGTGCTCTTGAAAATAACTTGATATGAGAGGATAGGTTTACTTGTCTTGACATGTTGTGATAGTTCTTGTTCAAAGTCAGTAAACATTAGCATTGAGAGGAAGAACATGAATAAAGCCTAGTTTCCTTTAGAATTGTGTGACGGTAAAGCATGACCTTCACATAAATTTGTTTTATATGGCCTTATAGTTGTTGTATATTGGTTGTTTGATGAAATGCCCCTTTGAGCTTTGGGAGAAGTTATGAACTTTAAGTCGAGAAGGTCATGAGTCCCTTTAAAAAAAAAAAAAAAAGGATCTTTGCATAACATGAGAAGTGAGATCCATTGGAAGAATTCCAAAATTTATTTCACATGAAGGAAAGCTGTAAGAGTGGCTTTATGTTAGAATATATATATATATATATATATATTTGCATTGGAAAACTTTAAAGTTTGCTTCATCATGATGTTGCTCTACGTCAGAAAATTTTATGAGTTTTAGAGAAGTATTTTCAATCCTTATTCTCACAAGTATAGGATTTCATTGTGATGTTTATAGGGGATCGAGAGAGGTAACTTGTCATATAACTAGAGCTTTATTTATGACTTTCAAAAAAACATCCTTTCCACACTTCATTAGTTTTTCTATGTGATTAGCTCTTGATTTACAATATCATATATTTGGCACAGG